GTATCGTAAAATCTCAAATTAACTGGCATCTGGTTATTTTATTTGCTAAATCTGGCACCCCTGGGCACAGAGTAATGTCACTTAATCATTTTTTCTCACTGTGGTGTCTGTGGCTCCTCCGTAGGTTTAAGCAGCAGACATGAGAAAGCAGGGAAGTGAGGGGAAGAAAAGCTTTGACTGCATGATTGTCATTCTGCCACCGTACGCGTCTTGGTGCACTGGTGTCCAAGGGTGACTCGTGGGACCAGCTTTTATCATGGGGGATGTTTCACGAGTATTCCCTTGACCTGGGAGATGCCTCATTTGGCTGGCCACTAACAACTGTCCCATTAGCACCTGGCTTCTGGTGGGTCCCTCTTTGTTGGGTCACTTTCACCCTTCCAGATGGTACCGTTGGGCGTGGAACTTTGGAAACAAATCCACTGGCAGCTTTCTTCTACAGAAATCCAATCTGACCTGCAGAAACCACATCGTTGCCCCACCAACCCTGGAATGCTGGGCAAACTTGTTCTTTGTTCCGCTACCAAGTATGTACTCCAGCCAGCTTCTGGACTTCAGACTTTTTTTTCCCCTCCCAAGTGTCAGTCAGTCCCCGAGTATGTAACTGTCTTCCAAACTTCAGAAACACCTATCTGTCTTCGAGGGTCCTTGAAACACTCCTTAGTCAGTTTAGGATGGAGGGGGAGGAATCTTCTCTCATCCCAATTGGGGCTGGCGGTTGGGACCGCAATACTCTGATAACTCTCTCAAAGTGGTCCCCAGAGCTGTGCCCTCCAACCTCCGCTTAATTCTGGCCTTCCTTCTTATAGATGGAGGTAGTTCGTAGCAAGGCTGAGGAAATCACTTGGGATCTCATTGCAGCCCTGCAGGCATTGTCTAGAATCTCTATTTAGAATGTGGGGGCTCTTCATACCTATTGTTCTCAGATTTGGAGTCTCAGTGGGATCTCAGTGACTTAAAAATCTTTTTAATAGATATTATATAACTAAAATGGTTATATTCATATAATAAAGATGACAAGAGGGAAGTGTCTGTGTGTGTTTGTGTGTGTGTGTGGTAGAAAAATGTGGTGTCATAAACCCAAATCCACATTTATCATAACAGGGAGGAGAAGAGAGTGTCTGAATTGATAACAAGAAGAGGAGGCTAAGCATATTATTTAGAAATATGGTGATAGAAATCTGAAGGGCAACCCAAGTAACTGAAAATGCTTGCTTTGGGGAAGTAGACTGTGGGTTTGAAGAAGAATGTGAAATTACTCTGTTTTCATTATAAGCTTAGTACTAATTTTTTTTTTTTTTTTTTGAGACAGAGTCTCACTCTGGTTGTTTTTTTGAGGGTTGTCCAGCGCCAGGCTAGAGTGAGTGCCGTGGCGTCAGCCTAGCTCACAGCAACCTCAAACTCCTGGGCTCGAGTGATCCTTCGGCCTCAGCCTCCCGAGTAGCTGGGACTACAGGCATGCGCCACTATGCCCGGCTAATATTTTTTTATATATATATCAGTTGGCCAATTAATTTCTTTCTGTTTATAGTAGAGACGGGGTCTCGCTCTTGCTCAGACTGGTTTTGAACTCCTGACCTTGAGCAATCCGCCTGCCTTGGCCTCCCAAGAGCTAGGATTACAGGCGTGAGCCACAGCACCCGGCCTAGTACTAATTTTTTAACAATGCATTATTTCAGTAATAATAATAAAATTTAAATGATAAATTTTGCCAAAACCACAAATAAAATATTGTGCAGTCATTAAAAAGAATGAGGCAGGCCTGGTGTGGTGGCTCATGCCTATAATCCTAGCACTCTGGGAGGCTGAGGCAGGAGGATCACTTGAGGTCAGGAGTTTGAGACCAGCCTCAACAAGAGTGAGACCCCGTCTCTCTAAGAATAGAAAGAAATTAGATGGAAAAAATAGAAAAAATTAGCCAGGTATAATGGCGTGCACCTATAGTCTTAGCTACTCTGGAGGCTGAAGCAGGAGAATCACTTAAGCCCAGGAGTTTGAGGTTGTTGTAAGCTAGGCTAATGCCATGGTACTCTAACCCAGGCAAGAGAGTAAGATTCTTGTCTCAAAATAAATAAATAAATAAAAATAAATATATAAATAAAATTAAAAAGGATAAGGCAGATCTATGTAAGGATCATAGCTGATGCTTATATAGTATTTAATTAATATCAAGCATAGTCTTAAATTCTGGGCATATATTAACTCATTTAATCTACATATATTAGTGTCCTAGGGCTGCTGTAACAAAATACAACAGGCTGGGTGGCTTAGAACAATAGAAATTTATTGTCTCACAGTTTCTGCAGGCTGAAAGTCAGAAATCAAGGTGTTGGCAGGATTATGCTCTCACTAAAACCTGTAGGAGAAGGATCCTTCCTCGCCTCTTCTATTAATAGCGTCTGGTGACTTCAGACGTCCCTTGGCTTGTAGCAGCATGACTCCAATATTCACATGTGTGCACGTCTGTGTCTCTGTGTTCAAATTTCCCTTTTTTATAAGGACACCAGTCATATTGGATTAGGGCTCACCCTAATGACCTCATTTTAATTTGATTACTTCTGTAAAGACCCCATTTCCAAATAAAGTCATACTCTGAGGTACAAGAGGTCAGGACTTTAACATATTTTTTGGGAGACACAATTCAACTCATAACACCATGCAGAAAGCCAATGAGGTAAGTGCAATTAGTGCATTTGATTAGTGCAATTGTATAGATGAAGAAACTGGAGCACAGAGAAATTAGGTGAGTTGCCCAAAAATGCATGGCTAATCAATGATGGACTGGAATTTAAACACAGGGACCCTGGCTCCCAAATACTGTGCTCTAAACCGCTAGATCACACTCTCTCTACATTAAGTGCACAAAGCAAGGCGAGAGCAATGTGCAGAGTACACTATCGTTGGTGTGAAAAGAGATCGGGATGACTGTTATATACGTGCTTGCATAGGAACAGAACATCTTTGGAAGATATCCCAAATACTGACTGTAGTGTCACCCCCAGGGACAGAAATATGGGAAGAGAGGAGTGAGCCTTTTGTTTAATATACATTCATTTAACACTTTGAAGTTTGCTGGTTGTTTTCGTCTGTTTGTTTGTTTGTTTCCATGTCAGGAATTAATTTAAAATATTTAAATTTAAGCTTTTCCCAGGCTCTTCCTGTGCTGCTGGGCCTGGAGCTGCAAACGCGGGTCTCCATTCAGCAGGATGGGGTTTGTTAAAGTTGTCAAGAATAAGGCCTACTTTAAGAGATACCCAAGTGAAATTCAGAAGATGAGGCAAGGGTAAAACTGCTTATTATGCTCAGAAACACTTGGAGATACAGGATAAAAATAAGTACAACACACCCAAGTACAGAATGATAGTTTGTGTGACTAACAGAGATATCATTTGTCAGATTGCTTATGCCCGTGTAGAAGGGGATATGACAGTCTGCACAGCTTATGCATGTGAACTACCAAAATACGGTGTGACAGTTGGCCTGACAGATTATGCTGCAGCGTGTTGTCCTGGCCTGCCGCTGGCCTGCAGCCTTCTCAGTAGGTTTGGCACGGACGAGATCTATGAAGACCAAGTGGAGGTAACTGGACACAAATGCGACGTGGAAAGCACTGACGGCCAGCCTCGGGCTTTCACGCACTACTTGGACGCAGGCCTTGCCAGAACTACCACTGGAAATACAGTTTTGGGGGTCCTGAAGGGAGCTGCGGGTGAAGGCTTGTCCATCCCTCACGGTACCAAGTGATTCCCTGGTTATGATTCTGAAGCAAGGAATTTAACACTGAGGTCCATCGGAAGCACACCAGGGTCAGAATGTTGCAGATTATATGCGTTGTCTAATGGAAGGAGATGACGATGCTTACAAGAAACAGTTCTCGAAATCCAGAAAGAACAATGTTACTCCAGACATGATGGAGGAGAAAGCTCATGCTGCTAGATGACATAGTCCAGTCTATGAGAAGAGGCCTAAGAAAGAAGTTAAGAAGAAGAGATGGAACCATCCCAAAATGTCTCTTGCCCAGAAGAAAGATCGGGTAGCTCAAAAGAAGGCAAGCTTCCTCGGAGCTAAGGGGTGGACGGATGAAAGTTAAACCAAACAGCAATTTTCTTTGAGGATTTTTCAGATAAAGACAATAAACTTATTGACCAAGCAAAAAAGGAATAAAATATAATAAAATAAAATATTTACATTGAAAATGAGAACAAGAGAAATGTCCTTTCACTAACACGATCACCCAAGGCTATAGGGGCTACCTGGATAATGTTTTACGGAGGTACAAGGAATGTATTTGGGAGGAAATGATCTAAGCGTTGGTTCCCAATCTCTTTAGTTGCTTTAAAAGACTGTTATGGTAGCTTTCTTAGTCTGTTCAGGCTGCTATAACAAAAATATCATAAACTGGGTAGCTTATAAACAATAGAAATTTATTGCTTACTGTTCTGGAGGCTGGGAAGTCCAAAATGAAGAGGATGGCAGGTTCTGTCTGGTTGAGGACTCACTCTGGTTCATAGAGGATCCCTTGTCACTGTGTCCTCATATGGTGGAAGGGGAAAGGAGTCACTTTCAGACTTTTTTCAACCTATGAATTTTGGGGGTACACATTCAGACTGTAACAGTGGCTATACAACTTTGAAAGAACCATAGAGTGAAACACTAAGCCATTAAACTTTACATTTATGAGAATCTTTTAATGATATTCGGAAATATGCTTATGATAAAATATTGTGAACTTGTATAGATAGATATTTGGCTGTCTTTAAAACAACACTGTGATCACACCGCTGCACTCCAACCTAGCCGACAGAGCGGGATTACTGTCAATAAATAAGTAAATAAATGAAAACAATGCTGATCTAAAAAACTGAAGAAAATATTCCTAAATATTTGGTTATTTAAGATGAAGGTGGGAAGAATTATGATGATGTTTATTTTCTGCTTTGTTCCTTTTGTTACTGTAGGTCAGAAGACAGCATTTAAAACACTTCTTCTGGTGAGCTGGAGCCGTACCCACATCGACCAATACTGACAGCCACAGCAGAGATTTGATCACAAAATGAGTGTGTGTGCCTCAGAGATTTTTCTCCTTCAAAAGTCAGCCTAGGAATCCGTTTTTCCATGTAGGCCCTTCTACTCATAAACTACCACTTTTCCTAACTTGATTCTTCAATGGGGTCTTTTCAAAGGGGAGCCAGAGGGATGAGGGGTGCTTTGCAGGAGAAGAAAGTGCATGTGTTTTCAGGTTAAAACCAACTTGCTCTGTGTGTCCGTGGGAAAGTTATTTAGCATTCTTATACCTCAGTTTCCCTATTTGCAAAATGGGCATAATTCTTTCACTCATTTAACAAATATTTATTGAGCACCTTCTGTGTGTCATGGACTGTCATAGGTCTGAGAACACGACAATGGCCGAATGAGGCAAAGACCCTGTCCTCATGAAGTGTGGAGCGGAGAGCAAGGACTCTCTCGCGTGGGTGCTGTGAGGATCAAGTGAATGAATGCACAACTGGAGAATCAGATGTCTTAATCTGATTCAGATCAGATGTCTGTTTAACCCCAGTGACCTCTGAGTTGCTACAGTCACTCAGTCCTTACATCATTAAGATAAAAGTTCCTCTTGCAACGAGAAACCCGGCGGCCTCCCCTTATCTTAAAGGTTGTCATGGGGCTTCCATTTCTCCTTGTCTCCTATGACAGCACTTACTCTTCCATGGATCGCGGCTTTTCATCTCATGTCCTTTCTATGAGGCTCCCTTTCGAGAACTCTCTGCTCCACGGTAGACATGCCCCAGGAAGGCCAGGCTGCGGTGGCTCAGATGTCTTCTCAAGGTTCGAGACTATGGTGGAAAATTACATCTTGGGGAAGTGCAAACAAGAAATCAGAGTCAATATTTTATTAATATATCCTTGTTCTTCACATTTCCTCAGCCACTCCCAGAACATTCCACCCTTCTCCTCAGGCGGACACTGGCCTTTTCCCAGGCCCCTAAGTTCCTGCCTCTTGTTCCCCCATCTCTTCCTGCCAAGCCATTTGCCCCTCACCCCCCAGATCTAGTCGCTCTTGCTATTCAAAGCGAGGGGTGTGAAGTGAGAAGAGGAGCTCACCTTTCCTCCCAGAGGGACCCAAGCGAAATATAACATTTCTCCCCAAGAGGAATTCTGTCTCCGGCTTTTAGGAAAACAACTCTTTTTCTCCCCACCACCGACAGGAGGGAAAGGTTAAGAGCCTGGGACATGGCAGCAGGTCAATAAACGCCGGTTCCTGTCCCTTCCCGTCCTGCCGGAGCCAGTCTGCGTGGCTGTACACACCAGCCTCTGCTTCCGCGTCTTCACCTTCGAAGTGGACGGGATCCACCGCTACACATGGCGTGCTAAGAGCAGGGGCTGGCACGTCAGTGCTCGGTGAATGCTGTTGTTGTTATCAGCTGCTGCACTCGGAACAGCGCTAGTTTCCTTGGGCTGCTGTAGCAAATCGCCACAACCTGGTTGGCTTAAAGTAACAGAAAACTATTCTTTCACAGTTCTGGAGGCCAGAAGTCTAAAGTCGAGGTGTCATCAGGGCCATGCTGCCTCCGAAGGCTGGAGGGAAGAGCCCTGTCTTGCCTCTGCCAGGTTCTGGGGTCCCCTGGCAGTGCTTGGCGTGTGGCTGCAGCTCTCCAGTCTCCGCCTCCGTCATCACGTGGCCATCTAGCCCGTGCGCACCGTGCGCATCTGCGTGTGTCTTTGCATGTCCTCTCCTCGTAAGGATGGCAGTCATATCGGATGTACAGAGTCTACCCTAATCTTGTATGACCTTATTTCAACAATTACATCTACAAAGAGCCTATTTCCAAATAAGGTCACATTCTGAGTTCCTACATGGACTTGAATTTTGGGGGGACACTGTTCACCCCGCACAGCTGGGAAGGCCATATCTGAGGTTTAGGCTTCTACGAAATGCCTCTCGGGGCAGAGTGAGCGACCCAATCAATGGGCTTCTCCAGCTCTTTCCAGCTCCCACACCTCCTGGGCCCCTGGCTGCCTGCTTCATGGGCGCCTAGTCTGCTGCCACCATCACCTGACTCCCAGGCAGTCTGTGCCTTCCTGGAAGGGAGGGCTGGCCCCAGTGCTGCCTCCAGTGGGCCAGAATCCTGACACCTGGACTCAGAAGTCCCAGGAGATATGAGACCTGACCCAGGTGGGGGAATTTTGACCAATGAGATTCAGGAGACAAGAGAAGCTGGCAGAAAAACTGCTTTCCCTTCTTCCCCTCTGCAGACCGGTCCGAGATGTTCTCACTCAACAGAAACAGGGGCTTCCTTCTCAAGAAGCGATGGCCAGCTCGGAAACACACTGCGCTGTGCTTTCCTGGCTTCCGCCTCCTCATTTTTGCTGTCCCAGGACTGTGTCCCCTAGCAAAGGATTTGCCTGTAAGCTTTGCCTCTGCGCTGTTTCCTAGAGAACTCGGGCTTCCACAGGTGCCGTAGACAGCCTCTTCAGGACTAGAGATCAAGACCAGGCTTCCACTAAGGCACAAACCAACACGTATGTGAGAAAGCGAGTGGAAGGGGCTGCCCAGAGCCAGGAATGCACAGCAGCTGGAGCTTGAAGGAGAACAGAGAACTAGAGCCTGTTTGCTGAGCCCCAGCCATGGGGTTACTGAAGCCAAGTCCTGCTAAACTTTAAGAACACCAAACTCTAACCACACAGCAGGGTTGAGGCCAGAGCCCCCGGCATAGGTGAGGAGCATGGGCTGCCAGAATCAGATGCCCATGGGAGGCATGCCTCAGACAAAACACTCATCAGAGTTTGGTTAGAAACTGTCGATGGACCAGGCATGGTGGCTTACGCCTGTAATCCTAGCACTCTGGGAGGCCAAGGTGGGAGGACTGCTTGAGACCAGCCTGAGCAAGAGTGAGACTCCCCCAGCCAGGCACGGTGGCTCATGCCTGTAATCCTAGCATTCTGTGTGGCCAAGGAAGGCGGATCATTTGAGCTCAGGAGTTTAAGACCTGAGCAAGAGTGAGTCCCCATCTCTACTATAAATAGAAAGAAATTAGCTGGACAACTAAAAACATATAGAAAAAATTAGCTGGGCATGGTGGCACATGGCTGTAATCCCAGCCACTTGGGAGGCTGAGGCAGGAGGATTGCTTGAGCCCAGGAGTTTGAGGTTGCTGTGAGCTAGGCTGATGCCATGGCACTCACTCTAGCCTGGGCAACAGGGCGAGATTATGTCTCAAAAAAAGAAAAAAGCTGTCTATGGCCATACCACTCTGAACACATCCTATCTCCTCTGATCTCAGAATTTGGTTAGAAATCTTAAGAGCTGTGGTGCAATGTTAATGCCTTTGTTCTTTCTTTTTCTATGGCTTGG